AAGGTCTCCTCAAGTGTTTGTCCTCTCTGTGTGCAGCAGGGCAGGGTCAGCACCTTCCAACTCCTAAAAAATATCATGACCAGCTGGGAAATCCTCTGGCACTGTGCAGGGAGGTGCAAGTTTTATGGAGGATGTGCTTGTGTGGGGCAGCACTGCTCATGGAGGAGCAAGGCTGAGCCATGCTGAGCTGAGCTGTGTGCACAGGGAGAAGAGAAGCAGAGGAAGAGCCAGAGGAGGATGCTGGGGAGTGCCATTCCCTGGGGACCCTGCTGAAACAAGCTCTAATGGGTGAAATTAAACTGAGTAGAATGGGAAAATTTCCTAAGATGTGTTAGAGCCTCCCGAGGGACACGGTGCTACCCCAGCAGCACAGTCCCCAGGGCAAACACAGGGGAGCAAAGCTGGCAGTGGGATCTGTGTCCCTGCTGTGGGGCAGAGCCTGGGTGTGCAGGAGCCTGAGCTGTGGCACCAGTGCTGGGATGCGACGGGGACGCTGCCAGGGTCCGTGTTGTGGCTGGGGCTGCGATCCAGCTGGAAGCTGGATGGAGCAGTCCTTCATTAGCAAAATCTGCAGAGTTTCACTGGCTACAAGTGGCATTTCATTTTGTCAACTGGCAGAAATACAAATGTCTTTTTTTTCCCCCCTGTGCTAGCCATTCTGGGGAGAAATGGCTCACCTGCTCCTTAGCTTTTCATGGAGCAGATTATTGCTCCTGGCTGATGGTTCCTCAGGCCCAATCCTGCTTTTGCTGTTCTTTCCTGGGTGAGTGGAGACAAAGGTGCTGAGCCAAGAGAGCAAGACCTGCTGGGCATGGTGTGACCAACCTATGGAGAGCTGCTCCACATCCCTGCATGGCAATGGCCAATTCTTGCCCCCATCAGCAGTTTCTGGTCCCCAAGACCTTCACTCATAGTGCCAAAAAAGCACCATAATCAAAAGACCTCATCTGCTGTGCTCCTCCTGCTGCAGCTGGGCTCCTTCCCTGCCCTCTGTCCCTCCTGGTCTCACTGAAGCACAGCCAGAGGTGCACAGGGATGTGCATTCCTCTGTTTCCCGAGAAATCCATGGCAGTGCCACAGCTCACTGCTCCTCATGCCCTGGGGTCAACCTCCCTGAGCTCTTTTGTGCCCCCTCTGTGCTGACACAGCCCTTGAGATGCTCTGGACGTGGATGGCATGGCTGAGCATCCCTCTCTCCATCATCCAACTGCTCCTGGACATCCTTGCTGCTCTCCCAGGCTGAGATCCCCTGGTAACACAAACATCTTTTTGCCCTGGGCCATCATCCCTGCTTTCTCCCCTGCTGTGAGCACTCCAGGGGCCAGAGCAGTGCCCACAGACCGTGCCATCCCTCCCCCCCTCTGTCTGCCGCATCCCCTGGCCCGCTCTCTTCCCAAATCCCACCAGGACTTGGCTCTCTGCCTCCCTTTGCTGGCCAAGACTGTGGCCTGGCAGGGTGGGCACCCCGTGCCCGTGAGCAGATGGCCCAGGCTGGGAGCTGGGGGTCTGCCTGGGCGGGAGGGATGGAGCCAGCTCGGATGGGGCAGCAGTGCCAGGGCGAGGCGTGGCCGTGGCAAAGCTCATGGATATTTTTGACCTGGATGGATGAGGGTTTGTTTCCTGAGCTGGCACGTGTGGCTCTCACCACCCAGTGGATGGAGGGACATGTTTTTGGTCATCAAAAGCCTGAAAATGGCCTTTTTTGGAGCAGAAGTGGGAAGGGAGCAGGGTGCTGGGAGAGAGGAGCTGGTATTCCATAGGGATGTCGCGGTCTGGTGTGGCTTGAGTTCTGCGTGTTTTGCTGGGTTCTGGGCCAGGTGCTGCATCCATCAGCCTTGGGGCTTTCTCAGCTTGTATTTCCAAGTCCCAGTTATCACACTGGGGTGTATAATGGGGCTCCAAGCCTATTTCCCCCAGCACCCCACCTTCCTCCTACTTCAAAACCCATTGGAGCAGATGGGCGAGATGGCCACAGGAGCACACCCCTGCCCTGTGGGATTTGTGAGCAACCCTGCACCTTTTGGTGCTCAGCAAACCCAGCTTCCCTGCAATCCAGCTGCTAGGTTTTCAGAAGGGCTGGAGGACAGTGGGCTGTGTCCCTGGGGTGTGCAGGACCGGCTGGTGGCACCGATCCGAGCGGCCACCAGGAGGATGGGTGACTTAGCACGTTTCCCCATCCCCGCCTCCCCCTCGGCCTCCTCCTCCTCTGGGAGCCCTGACATTAATGCAGCGAGAGGGGGGGATTTATGGACGGCAGCCCTCCAATCGGGCCATCCATCCTGATTAAATTAGCCCTAATGGCTCAGCGCTGACTCGCGAGCTCACGGCCCCGCGCAGCCGCGCTCGCTCGCCAGGGCTCGATTGGAGCACCCCCATTCCAGCCCCTCATCCTCCTCCCCTCACCTGGACAATTCCCAAAAGAGTGGTTTGGGGCAGGGGGAGGTTGGATCCTGGCTGGAGCTGTTCCCTGGATGGGAGCCCACGGAACATGGGGGTCCCCAGGGCTGCGGTCCTGTGCTGACAGAAGTGGACAATGAGCTTCTCCCCACGCGGGTGGGAAAACATGGGGAACTTCTCCCCAAAAGCAGAGGGAATCTGGGGTTACAGGGATGGAAGTCCCAGGCTATTCATTTGCATTTCCTGTAGCAAACTTGGGAGAGAGGGATAAGCCACCAGCATGGGCAGGTGATGGGAACACCAGCCTGGCCAGTTGTGGCTGCCCAGCTTCACCCAGCCCCAGTCTCGGACTGGGAACCCTGAATCTGCTCCCCTCACCCCAGTGGGTGCCCCTGGCCCATGGCCAGTCTCCCAGCCCATCTCTGCAGCCAATCTTTTAATCTATTTTTGAAGGGAGTGTCAGGAACTTTGGTCTGGCACCTCTGGCTGGGCACTGGGGCAGGAAGGTATTTGGGAAGCTTTCCATGGGCATGCTGGGGTGACAGGAGAGCTGGTGTGTGAGGGGCTGCCTGACAGACAGAAAGGAGCAGTGTTTTGGGGTCAGGATGTCCCTGGGTGGTCTTTACAGGACCACCATGCTCAGTGTGTGAGCTGGTGTCCCCTTTGATCTGCAAATCCCAAATCCCTGCTGTTACCTGAGTATCCATCAGGGCTGGGGCAAGGCCCTGCAGCGCTTTTCATCCTGGGATTTTGGTGTTGGTTAAAATTCAGTGTTTCTGAGGTTTGTGGAATGGGGTGAGATGGGACAAGCCAAGGTGGAGAGGGGAGTGGAGGCAGCACTGGAAGCATTGCCCTGAGGTGCTCTGGGGTATTTGGGAGCAGTGAAGGAGCAATCTCCATCTCAGGAGAGGATGGGAGCTGAGCACCAGGAGAGTCACTGCTCCAGGATGCTGTCGAAAGAGAGAAGGAGGAATTGCTGGTCCCAAACTTGTGGTGGGAACCATGGAAAAGTGAGGGAGAGGCTGCCAAAGAGCAGGGGAGGAGGCAGCCTCTTCATGTGCCGTGTTCTGTGGGGTTTCATGTTTTCTCTGTGACCTGCCAGCTCGTGACAGCCACGCTGAGCAGCGCCGAGCATCGCTGGCGAGGCTGGAGGTCTCCTGGCTGTGATTTCTTTTCTTTCTTTTTTTTTTTTTTTTTTGTGAACAAAGCCTGTGAATCCCCAAAAAAGGAGCAGGCAGCAGCCCTGGGATCTCGTGGGTGACCGAGTGTGGAGGAAGTGTAGCAAAAATTACAGACAGTGGCTGGTTTGCATCTCCCTCTGGCTGGGAGCCAGCCGGGGTTGTGAGCCCACTGCAGCATCCCTGTGCCTCCCTCTCCCCTCCACGGGGGAAGGTTTCACTTTGACCCCCTCAAAAAGGCCTCGCTGTTATAAGGATAGTGTGACCTGGAGGCACCCAAAGCCTCCCAAATGGCTTAAAATAATGCTCACCCCCAAAGAAACAAACTTGGACTCCAGTCAACCTTTCGAAAAGAAATAAATAAAAATCCCCGCCTGCAATAAAAAGAAGTGGCTCCAATTCTCAGCCCTCCCTCTCCCCCCATCTCCCCTCCCCACACATATACAACTCCCTGCCCCTTAAACCAGCCCAAAGTGAAGCCTTCAGGGACGCTGTCCCACCATCGATTTTCCATGGAAGGTGCCTAGCGAGGATGATGATGGGCTGCAGGGCTGCTGCCCCCCGAGCAGCGCGGGGGAGCTGAGATGCATCCATCGGGAAGGGGCTGTTGCTTCCCGGCTCTGTGCCTGCCGGGCTAGGAAAAGCTAGGAAGCCATCAAGGTAGAGGAGAGGAAGAAGAAGAAGAAGAAGAGGAAGAAGCAGCAGCAGAAGGGCCGAAGGGCTGGGGCGAAGCAGCCATTAGGAAAGTGCTGATGCAGAGGTTCCCTCGTGTCTACGGGCAGAGTTGGAGGAGTTGCTGTTCGCGGACAAAGGCAGCAGGAGGGAGTGGAGCTTTGTAGAAGCCGGAGCCTGTCTCACTGGGTGTCTGTGTTTCATTCCCTGTCAAAAAGCCTGGGAGCTGGTGGGGGGAAAAAAGCAGGGAAGCAGCGGCGAGCTGCAGCGCTCGCTCAGGATCAGATAGCAGGGAAACCAATAGCGGCGAGAAAAAAAAAAAAAAAAAAAAAAAAAAAAAAAAAAAAAAAAAAGAGAAAACCAACCCACAGCAACCAACCAACCCACCCACCCTCCACGCTGAGGCTGGAACAGGCAGGTCCCTGCCAACTCCACAGCACGCAGCAAGCAGGGAAGAAGGGAAGAAGTCCACCCTCCCCGGGCAGGAGCGGAGTTGAGCCCGAAGGATATTTGATGACACTTTGGCTACGATGGGTCCCCCAGCATCTTCCAGAGCCCATTTGAGGGTGAAGGCTCCGAAAGCGCAGAGGGAGTTTGAAGCTAAATTCACCTGAGTCTGGATCTCTTGGTCGCTGGGATTTATCTGTTTTTCTTTTTTTCTCCACGGGGAAACCGAACCAAGAAAAAAAGCGAGTTTGCTTTTTTTTTTCCCCCTTTTTTAAAAATCTCCCTCCTTTTTTTTTTTTTTTTTTTAAATTTCTTTTTTTTTCTTTTGGAAGAAGATATTTTTTTTCCCCTGTGGTTGGAATGGAGGGGTTGGGTCTGTGCCTAAGAAGCAGCAGCCGAACGTCGGTCCTGGGAGAAAGCCGAGTGGATGTGGGGTGCCCTGCCAGCTAACTGTCCAGGAGCTGCAGCCCCACGGCCCGAGGGGCTGGATGCAGTGAGAGGTAAGTGCCGGCTCCGGTGCCTGCCCACCACGGCTCCTCCAGCTCCGTCTCAATCCCAAGTCAGAGGCAAAAACAGCAGTCTCATAGTGAGTCAATCACTTCCACCTATTGCAGCCCTGATGGAGAAATAAGACGGGGAAGTTTCGCAGCGCCGGCTCCACGGGGAAAGTTCCCCCTCACCCCTGTGCCCCAAATGCCAGTTTTTGGGGGGGGGGATGCTTTGTCAAGCGGCGTCACCGTGCCAGTGCCATGGGCCCCCTCCCTGCCCAGGCAGCATTGAGGGTATTGCTGCTGCTTTTTGGGTTCCTCTCCGTGCTCCCGCTCCCCTCTGCTCGCTTCCCCCCGGCCAGCTCGCTTCCTCACCCAAAACTTTTGCACAGCGGCTGTTTTGGGCGATGCCCACGCGGGGTTGTGCCCCTCGGTGCCCACACAGGGATGTTCACACGTTGGTGTGACACACACACACAGCTCCTGACCCTCCTATCCCCAGCTCCCCGGGCCCTGCCGGCGGGGACGCGCTTGGCGTGAGCCCGGGAGCTGCGGGGCTGGGGGGGCTTGGGAGGCAAACTGCAAAGCACAGGGAAAAACCCGAGCGAGCCGAGCCCGGCAGAGCAGCAGCAGCAGCAGCAGCAGCAGCAGCAGCAGCAGCATAATTGCATCACTGTAATAGTATCGGCGCTGAGCACGAGCCAGGCGAGTAAAATTGTCCAGAAAATGAGCTGTACTAAAGTGCCTCCAGTTAGCAGCACCTGCACGCCTTCACTGGGTGCTCGAGGCCGTTCGTATTTTTAGAAGTCTCTCTTAATTATAGAGCAAAGAGTGTGAGAGGGAAAATGGTGTGTATTTAGCAGCATTCCCGGACAGTTTTGCAGTGAATATGAGCACAAAATCACCAAATAGGGTTTATTTTCTTCCCCCCGCTTTGCACTTGTGATTTTGAACCACCTGTTTTGCTGTGGTGTCAGCAAACGAGGGCTGGGTTCTCTTCTTTCCTGTTCTTAGAAAGCGTGGCGTGACTTTGCCCGTGAAAAAGATGGGAAGCGGTCATGCTGCCTTCCCTCTGCACCCCAAATCCACCCCAATTTCTGACATCTTCCCATTCCCATCCCAGGGGTGATACTGCTGGGGACAGGGCGCTCACATGTTGGCGCCGGGTCCTCTGCAAGCAGCAGAGAGCTGGGGATGTTTTACAGGTCACTGTGGAAAAAAATCCACAACAAGCCCTGCAACAACTCGTTTTGCTTCTACAAACCTTCTTCCCCTCATCCCCTTCTCTGCAAAACTTTCCAGGGCCTTTTGTTTGGAACAGCAGGTGAAATTCCCTTTGTGTGAGCACAAAGCAATGAAGCCACCAGAAAATAATGAAAACAAGACTTAAAAAAAAATTTAAAAAAAAAAAGAAAATCCTTGCCTGCTCTTTTCAGGCCTGGAAGAACAGCGAGCGCTCCCATCCATGCCAGATAAGCTTAATAAAGCTCTGGCTTTGCTGGGGAAGGCACTGTAAAGGCCACTTTACTTCTTGCCTCTGATCCAAAACACACTTTGAAATCCTGTGTTGCCTCTGCTGCTCTTTACCCAAAGGAGTTGCTTTGCCTGTGAAGTCAAAGCAGTTTTTTCCTTAGCGCTGGAATGACCCGGTGGGGGTTATGGCAATTCCCGTGGGACCAGCTGGGTTGGGATTTTGGTGTCACCCTGACTCTGGTGCCGCGGTGCTCTGTAGTTTTTGGTGGTGTCACAGTGGGGTTTTCCCCTGTCCCTGCTGTCTGGGGCAGCTCCACCAGCAGCGCAGCAGAAATGCTCCTGCTGCGGATAAACTTCGGGGGAGCAGCACCGTGAGCTGAAACCTGGCATTTCCACCCAATTCCTGCCAGCTTTAGGGGCTCTTAGGGTGAGAATGTGCTTGAGAGACAAGGGAGCCTCACCCAACCCCTGTGCAGGGGGAGCAGGGCTGGGTTGGCAGTTTTGGGGGTGCTGCCTGCAGCAGGAGTGGGACAGTCCTGTCCTGCTCTCCTGTCACCGCTCGGGTGTGTGGCACTTGGAGGGGACACCTTATGTAAGCAGCGATGGCAGCGCCGTGCCCTGGCCGTGCCACCCTGCTCTGCCCCTGCCAGGCCCCGTCCTGAGGGTCCCCTCTGGGTGCAGGAGCTGCTGGATCACTGTGGAAGGAGCACAACCCCCCTGTCAGGGCAAACAGCCCCAAGCCCAGGGTTTGCCTGTGGGTTTTGCAGAATTCATGGCTGTACCCTTCCCGGTGCTGGCTCTGCCATCCCCAGCCCTGGGGAGGTGGCACCAGGCTCAAGCCCCTTTCTGGGCTCTTTTGCACCCGTTGGTTAAGTCCAGCCCTGTTTGGGTTTGGCAGTGCAGGGCAAGGGCTGGCTCACATGGATGAGGAGGGAGAAATTGTCCCCTGAGTGTGGGGACACTGTGGCAAAGGACCTGTGTCCCTGTCCCAGATCATGAGACTCCATCCCCCTGAGTGCCCAGTGCATACCCAGCCACCTGCCCTGGCCCTGGTGTGCCTGAAATGGAGGAAAAAAGAGGAAAAAATGAGCATTAGGGTCTTGGGAAGCCCCTGTGCCCCAGGGAGCAGAGCTCGGTGGGTGTCTCATCACTCCAGCTCCACTCTGGCTTCTGAGTTGGGGTGCAGGGGAGAAAGGTGGGAGTGTGGTGGCAGGGAGGCTCCCAGTGCTGCTCTGCACAGCTCTGGGTGACAGTGGGCTTGTCATCTCACAGGGATGTGCCCCTTTTTCACCATTCCTGGCTCATTCCTGGCTTGTTCCCTGCTCCCAGCTGGGTCCTGCAGTCCCAGCTTGATCCCAGTTCCCAGCTCACTCCCTGTTCCAGCTTGCAGTGAGGCAGGGCTGCCGGTGGGCGATGGATTCCTTGCAAAGCTCTCTCAGATTCCCCCGTTGGACTTTTGAAGCATCTGGTATCACTATCTCAGCGTCATTATGAATTAATTAACATTAATTTCCTGCTCTGGTATCTCCCATTGCTGGGACCTTTAGCCTGGGCTTTTTTCTCCTCCTCCCTGACATCCTCAAACAGAAATGGCCAGATCCAGACAGTGCCTGACAGCAAACCAGAGAGAAATCACCTAACTGGGAAATGGAGGGGTTTTGGGGTCCGCATCCCGCACCAAGGCAGGGGATGCTGCCGGGATCCCGATGCTCTGGTAGCCAGGATAAGGCTGATCCTGTGGGTGCTGCCAGCCCTGTTTGCCCCCTGGCCATGCCCCCAGCATGAGGATGGGAGTTTGGGGATGGGTGATGCCAGCTGTGCCACCCCTCACCTCCGTGTCCCCGCAGGGATGCAGGGCAGGTGGGGCCAGGGCTGTCCCGCAGGGGAAGGATTTTCCCTCCAGCTCTGGGAAATCCTGCTCGTGGCTCCCCAGCCTGTGCTGGAGGCACCAGGGGTGTTCCTCCTCTCTGGGATGCTGCTCCAGGGACGCTGATCCCAAGGAGGGTGATGGCAGGGATGCTGTCACAGGGATGCTGTCACAGGGATGTTGTCACAGGGATGCTGACCCTCCGGATTTGTGAGGATGGGGATGCAGATGCAGCAGGCTGGGATCAGGGCTGGATCCTTTGCATCCTGCTCCGTGAGTCACCCCGGGGGAGGCACAGCCCGGCAGTCACAGCCTGACCCTGGCTCCTTCCCTGAGCCCTCACCTGCCCGGCTGAGCCCTGGAGAGCCCAGAGGGACTCAGTGGGATGTGGGTGCAGCACCCGCTGCCTCCCAGCCCCATCCCACCCTCCCATGCCCCATCCCCTGCCCCACAGCGGCCCAACCCTCCTGTCCCCCCAGTGCCACCCCCGTGTGCCCCACAGCAGTGCCACAGCATCCCTAGAGCCACCCCAGCCCCTCCTTGCAGTGTGGGCTGGGCTGGGGGGGTTTCCCCCAAACTCCCCAGCCCCGGGGTGGGGGTGGCAGCCCCGGGGGGGGGCCGGGGGACAACCCTGGTGTCCTACATCCCCCGAGCTGGCTGGGGCTTACGTAACGGCCGTGCTGCAGTGTGTGCTCCGCTCAGCGCCAGTGCCACCGGCGGAGCTGCAGCGCGAGCCCGGCTCCCGGGAAATTCGCTTTTTGGGGACGGGGGGAGGCAGGGGGACACCTGCAGGGGAGCTGAGCTCCGGGGAGGGGCAGCATCTGGAGGGGGTGGTTGGTAGGGCTGGCTGGGTGTGGGGTTGGGGTGTGTGCTCACAGCCCCGTCTGGCAGTGACCTTGAGGGTCAGAGGGGCCCTGGATGGCAGCAGGAGGAGGGGTTGGAGATGGGGACAGCAGAGAGGGCACTGTCCTGGTCCTAAGCCAGAGGTGAGGTTGGAGTCCCTGCTGCACCCCCTGCTACCCACAGTGCTGCCTGTCCCCTCTCGGAGAGCACTGTGCAGGTGGGGAAACTGAGGCAGGGGCTGTGCCGTGCTGTGGGGAGCGGGTACCAGGGACCCTCTGGATGGGGAGGGGATGGGGAATTAGCAGCTCCTCAGAGAACCCTGGCTTGGAGGTGCCCCAGCTCAGCCCAAGCTCTGCCCCCAGAGCTGGTGTCCCCAATCAGGGCTGGCACTCGGGGCAGCCTGGCAGGGAGGGGCAGCTCGGGGTGTGTGTGACATGCCAAGGGCCATGGGGGGACACCAGGCTGGCTGCAGCACCCTTGGTGTCCCCAGCTTGAGTTCCCAGAAAGGCACAGGGTGCAAAGCAGGGAGCTGCAGGGAGAGACCTCCCTGCAGGCTGTGCCAAGGCCGTGGTGTGGCAGGGACCAGTGTGTCACCCCTGTGTCACCAGTGTGTCACCGTGCCTGACCGCTGCCAAGTGCCGGGGTGCACCTGGGATCTGACCCAGCCCTGGGGGCTGTGGGTGGGCTCAGGGTGCTGGCAGCAGCCCAGGGGCTCAGGTGGCACCTGCTGCAGGCACCTCCAGCTGCAACGTCACCTCAGTCCCTCTCTGGCCCAGCTCTGCTCCAGCACAGCTCTCTGGAAGCATGAGGAGGGTTTGTGTCCCACTGC